GTGCTGAGATATGGTGCATCAATAATACAGAATTCGAGATATTTGGAAGAGAACTAGAGCATAAAGAGACATCCAGCTACTCTACCTATTTGGATAGAGAACTAGAGTCCATAATGACATCAAGCTACCTATTTGGATAGAGATGAGACTCTTGAAGGAGTTCATTTTAATTTGAATAGTGTGAGTTGTGGATAATGTTATCCTTGTATAAGATAGAGTCCCAATGACCGAGTGGACATAACATAGAGAAATAGATGCACGTCCCCATGTAAGTAAACACAGGTAAGTCCTCCCCAATGGTCCTAATGATTTGGCTTTCTATGTCTGGGTACGCCCTATAACAAACTTAACAATTACAATATCAAAACCCATCGACTAACTGCATTGATATGTAAAAGTTCTACGACTTCCTTCATATCACTCTAACATGATCTATTACATATTAGAATATGTGATTACATGTTAACAACAACAGCATTGCCCTATGGGCTTACAGCTTTCCAAGTTAACACTTTGGTTACAACAAAAGAGTACTAACTCATACACATTAAGCCCTTGGCTTGAATTTACATGTAATACATCAAAAGTAAAACGACAAAAGTGTGTCCGCCTCTAGCCTCCCAAGCTATGTCCTTGGAGGTGGCATGCTACCTGTACCTGAAAATGATATTCCCATATAGGGTGAGCCACAGCCCAGTAGAAATACACTAAACCCACCATGAACAATGACTAAAAGAATTAGCAATTGATAGATGGCCAACACTGATACCTTCACATAAATTACTATTTATGTCAACACTTTGAGTCCAAGTTACTTTTCATTTTCCCCTTTTTCAACAGATAGACATATAAGCTCTATCCACATTCTCAACAGATATGTATAAAAACTATATCCCACATTCACAGATAAGCATATAAGCTGTATCCACATTCTCAACAGATATGTATATCAACAATATCCCATATTTCACAGATAAGCATATAAGCATATATCCACACTTCATAAAGATAAGCATATCAGCTCTATCTTTACTTCTCTAGACAAGCATATGAGCTGTATCTACGGAGTTCATCCCCTATCTTCTCCCAACACTATCCGGTTTAGAGGTACATCCCCTATCTTCCCCTAAACCGCGCGAGTACATCCCCCATCTCCTTCTCTACACATAACGTATACAAACACATTGGTTCTATATACAATCACTCAATACATATAGTTAATGTATTCTATCAACCGTCAAATTCCATGAACACATTCCATTGATTAGTTTCCGTTTGCCTAATCATCATGCATTGTCTACAACAAATCACGACTATCCTCCACCGATAGCCCAAAGCAATTTTTCTAAACAGAAAATAAATGCACAATGGATATTCAATCAACATTTCATTTCCTCTTTCTCACAATTAATTATCCCAATTAATCAAACAATGTAATTAGGTCATTCCATAATTAACATTTCAACCCTTAGGTCCCATTTCATCAATGATTCAACATTTATTCCATTTCTCTATGCCAAACATGCATCTAGGTTTTATTATGAATAAAACCTCAACTTTTGTAAAATTACACAAAAGCCCCGAACTTTCACCAAAATTACCAAAACCAACACCCAACATCTCAAAATACTAAAAATTTAAAGACAAAATCCATAGAGAGGAGTAGGATATCCCTACTTCAAATTCGGAGCCCCAAAGGAGAAATGACAAAACCCAACGTGCTCCAATCTCGAAATTTTTAAATTAAAATGTAGCCCTCGATGATCAACAACTTTTTTGTAAAGGCCAAAGATGAGCAAATCACTTCTACTAGATCAAAAACCTAGAGAGAAGGTAGAGTTCTAGAGTGAGAGGCTCAACAATGGCATTTTTGGAAAAGTAGGAGAAGAGAAGAGAAAGTGAAAAAGTGATTTGAAAAGTCAAAACACGGAACTTAAACCCAGTCGACCGCTCGAGCGTAAACACCCGCTTAGCGTCACTCACAGACTCCCGCTCGAGCGCCAACAATCCCGCTCGAGCGGCGAATACACACTCCCAGAACTTTTACAGAACCAGGTCTCCGCTCGAGCTTCTAACTCCCCGCTCGAGCGGCACTCACACAATCCCGCTCGAGCGGCCAACTCCACGCTCGAGCGTCAATACTGCACAGGAAATACTGGATGGGTGCAATGTGCAATTCCCGCTCGAGCGCCAAAACCCCCGCTCGAGCGGACAGGTCAAAATCTGGGCAACTAGTTTTGGTTTCTAAACTCAACCAACCTGTAACAAACCTGCCCAACACATCCTATAACTCAAATACGAAGTAAAAAGGATGTAAACAAGATAATAATCAACTACCAACATCCACGGACACAAGTCCGGATCACTGTACAACAAGGGTAAACCCAGGATCGCTATATAGTGAGTTAAGCACTATTGGTTATCTTTGAGAGATATTTGATTACTGACTTGAGCATCGGAGTGCCCCCGGATGGACGAACCACCGCCGGATTCTTATCTTTCTGTGACAGGTTGTCCGGGCTTAATCTATTCTCCTGGTGCTCTCCAGCTGAGTTCCCTCTTTGGTTGTGTGGTCGGAAATCAACACCCACACAACCCAATCAAAGATATATATATATATATATATATGTATGTATATATACAATGAACTCTTAACATATATTTGGAGGTTGTAGATGTCCTTGATCTTTTGGTATATAGTTTGGAGCAAGATCATGAGAACAATGACACTAGTTGACACCAATTATCAAATCATTCAACTCTCCACTTGGTAAGTTACTAGCAATGTCATGTCATCATCATGACAGTTTCCTTAGATTTTATATCTTCACTTTCTTTACTTATTTTGTTAAATCTTTGGTCATGCCATTGTTGTTTTTTATTTTATTTTTTCTTTCAGAGACGAGTTCTTTATTGGTTGATGAGTACTTAATTGTGGTTCTTTCTGTACTAGAATATTGGTGAATGGTTTTTTCCTCATTTTTTGAGGATGTTTCCATACATAGTGATCCTCTCTTCATTCACAAGATAAAATGTGGATATGGAGATGTTGAAGAGATAACTAGATGGGAAAAGGGAAATAGATATAGTATATAGTAGAGACGAAGATCTATATAAAAAAAATAGAGAGAAAGATCTGTATATTAAAAAAAAAAAAAATTAAGAGAAAGAACAATGACATTCTTTTGTAAATTTAAAGATATGAAAAGGGTATTTATGTCTTAAACATTGGCTTACTCACCAAATCAGCGTGTTAATGTCACTGCCAGTTAACTTAGATGGAAAAGTTAATGGTGCGTTTTGGTCCACAAACCATATGAGGTTATGTAGTGATTTCCAAATGTCAGAGGAGTAAACCGCAATCGGCCTAAACCACAGGGGGTAAAGTGAAATTTGTCCTAATAAATAAAATGATCTAAACAATTTAATATTCATTAAAGACTAAAATAAAAAATAAAAAATTAATAGCTCATATTTATTGAATTAAATGGGCAGGCTTGATAGATTTTTTTAAGGTTGGGTTTGAAATGACTAGATAAGGCTTGGTGTTGGGGCTAACCAGACTTGAAATAATGCATATCTGCTTACTATATAGTGCAAGTTTGACCTAGCTCGGTCCAAGGTTTGCTTAACCCTATTGCCAGTCGAAGTCGAAGCTGATATAGGGATGGCCATTCAGTTTGATATTTTTAGGGTTTAGAAAAAAATATTTAACTCATAAAGCCAGACTGGACAAATTTTTTTAGCCCGTTTAATTTTCGGGCTGGGTTTAGGATAAAAAGTTTTAGCTTGGCCCAATTTGTCCGTTTAGAAAAGCCCGTTTAATTTTCGGGCTGGGTTTAGGATAAAAAGTTTTAGCTTGGCCCAATTTGTCCGTTTAGAAAATATTAATTTTAATTTTTATAGTATTTAGTTACAAAATAAATAAGAAAAATAATAAAAGATAAAAAATACACATATATATACTTCTTTCGGTAGCTTAGATTACAACACTTCTTAAAAGATTATATTTGTATTATTATTAATTTTTATTAATATTTTAAATTTATAAAATTATGAAAAAAGTTTAAATAATTTAATAATTTTTTAAGATGGAAAAAAAATTAATAGCTCATATCTAATTTGAGATTTAGGTATTTTTTTTAAAGTCAAACTTAGAGTAATTAGGTTAGGTTAAGATTGATACATAGTTGAACCAAACTTAAATGATGCACATACTATAGTGCTAGCCCGGTCCCAACCCCCCTCAGCCTTTGTCCACCCTTAGCTGGTGTTGGAAAACGTGGATAAAATAAAAAATTTAGGCAATAATACCACAAATCTATTCACCTTGTTTGTTTTCAATTTTTCAAAACACTTTTTAAAAAATTTTATTTTCTTATTTTTCATGTTTTTTTATTTTTTTTGAATTTTTTAAATATTTTAAGTAATTTTTTTATTTTTTTTAGACATACTTAACATAAATATACTTAAAAAATAAAAAATTTATGAAAAAAACTTATAAAAATTCACTAAATTTACCAAAAATACACAAAAAAATACAAGAATTAGCACATTTTTTATATTTTTATGTATTTATTAATTTTTTAAATATTTTTTTTACAATTTTTTTACTTTTTAGATACATCTAAGTAAGGTGCATCTAAAAAAGTAAAAAAAAACATTTAAAATTTTAAAAATATTCACTAAAAACAAAAAAAACACAAAAACCAAAAAAGTCAATTTTCAAAAAAAGTTAATCCAGAAAATTCAAACCAGAATTTATTTAAAAGAAAAATTAATAACTTAATTTTAGGAGATGTTTGAGATGATCTAAATAAGTGTATTTTTTTATCTTTTTATAAAAATTTATAAAAAGAATAAAAAAATAATATAATAAAAAAAAATAAAAAGATAAATTATTTAGGGAATACCAAATCACTCCTTATTTTATATATAAATTTCATACTTTATCGATTTAATTTTCATCGTATAAACCAATTCGAGATAAATTCGGTATCATCGGTTGGGTTACTAACAATTTTCAAACTTTATGTTAAAAAAAAAAGAAAAAGGAGTCCTCGATTAACGATTTCGGACACTTTTCCTGAGAGATCGTCAAACCAGATCGCCCACCATTTTTCAACCCAACCACAATCCCTACCAGAATTTCTCAACTCATACACAGAATCAGCGACTCTCTCTCTCTCTCTCTCTCTCTCTCTCAAACATATCGATCTTGTTCCATGTCTTCTATTCTTTTGCTTCTGGCTCTGTTTCTGTTGATCTTCGAAGCTTTTCCATCATCATCGGCTTCAATTGGATCTCGTTCAATTCTCAGAGCTGTCGTCACTAACAACGGCGATCAACCTGACTTCGCCGTCGAATTGAACGCCACGAATTTCGATGCTGTTCTCAAGGACACACCAGCTACATACGCCATTGTTGAATTCTTCGCTAACTGGTCACTCACTTTGCTTCTTTGATGTCGTTAATTGGACTTTGCTACTAATGTTCTCTACTGTTATATCTAGAAAAAAAATGCTTTATTATGTTGTGAATTCTTTATAGGATCTATCCAACTCCGATAGTGATATGCTAATTCAAAAAAGCTATAGAATAACTGTACTTTGAAACTATCAGTTATGTCATTGTTTGATAATTGATTAGAATTTTGATGTCTCCTGCTTTCAACAATGTAGTTTGAGAATATGTAAGAACTACATATAGAAAAGATTTAAGGAAGAAAAGGTAAAATTTTCTCTAAGGCTGTGTTTGGTTTGAGGATTTGATGAAGGAAATGGAAAGGGAATGGGAAATAGAAAGAAAAGCAGAAAGAATTGATAGGATTCCAGTTCAAACTATGTTTGGTTAAGTTGGGAAATGAAGAAAGAGAAGAGCCTAACACTGGGTTTGGTTGGGGGATTTGGGAGGGGATTTGGAAAAGGAAAGAGAAAAAGTGTGTGAACTCAAATCCCTATCTTTTCCCTTTCTCTTTCCAAATCTCCCAAACAAACACGGCGTAAGTGAACTCAAAAGACAAAAAGTGGGATTAAAATTTCCCTTTCCCTTTCCCTTTCCCTTTCTTTTCCCAGGTGTTTTCCATTATAATCAAATAAAAAGTGGGATTGCATTTTCTTTTCTCTTATCAAATCCTCCAACCAAACACAACCTAATAGATTTGAATTACTATTTTTAAAAAGTGGGAGCTGGAGAAGTGATTTCTGATAACAACTGTGGTCCGTGGTGGATCTGAGGGGGTTATGTCTACGGATGGATGGTCAATGACAGCCACCATTAAAATTTCAGTTTTACACCACCACATCAAGTTGGCATAGCGAAAATTAGAAAGTCAGCCTCTTTATGTGCACTACTACATTTAATACCTCGTAACTGTAAAACGACATGCATTTTGTGCTCCTGATAGTTGCCCATGGCCCATGGGGGAACAAAGGCCACGTTTCATTAATTAAATGAAAATTAGCTAGCTTTCATTGTTTTTACCAAATAATTTAGATACTGATGGCTTGTAGGTATGAAAATGCTGGATTTTTTGTTATTGTTCTCATATTGTTACAATATTAGTTCTTACATGCTTCTATCTGTCCTACAGGTGCCCAGCTTGCAGAAATTATAAGGTATGTTCTATGCTGAATGTTGTGTTTAGCATCTTAAATTAATGTTTTCTTATGTTTCTATTGCTTGAGACACAACTTGCAGCCGCATTATGAAAAGGTAGCGAGGCTTTTCAATGGACCTGAAGCAGTTCATCCAGGGATCATATTGATGACAAGGGTAGACTGTGCATTGAAGGTATTGTTGCTATGCGTACATGATACTTCTCCTTAGGTGGTATTATGCTCTTATAGTCATATTAATGAAATCAACTGTTAGCTCTCCACTGTATAATGTTGATATGTACTTTTGGAAAATGGAAGAACTTTAAGAATAATGTAATACTGTTTATATGGAACAAGGACATTGAATCTCAATTACATTAACTCTAGTGGTTAGCAGTGTTCTGTCATCTGCATTTGTTGTTACTTCTTTTGAAATATAGCCAGTCATCATATATATGCACATACATGTGATTAGGAGGCCAAAAATGTCATTATGGTCTTCAAACTCTATAGATTTGTGACTCGACTTATGTCAGTTAGACTTAAAAAACAGTCTTCAAACTAAATTGTGACTTGACTTATGTTAGACTTAAAAATTATAAATACGCAACAACTTTTCTAAATTTAAAATAAGCATCTAAGAAAATTAGGAGGTTTGGTTTGTTCAATCAAGTTGTTTGGGGTAAGATGTAGGATAGCATTAGAAAACTTGAATTAAGCTTGCATAGAATTGGTTTTCTGGCAGGTTAGTCAATTGCAAATTTTAGTATCAGTCAGCCTATCGGGGTTCTATTAGGTAGAAGGAAAGGTTTGAGGTTTTTCTCGCAGAAAGGGTTGAAACCAGCTCAGTTTAGACAAGTGTATAGTTGCTTGAATTCCCTCAACAACACAACTTGTTAGGGATTTAGATGTGGAATAAACTCCCAAAGGAAGAGAAAAGGCTGATGATTGGGTGTGGTTTTGTGGCTGAAATCAGGGTTGTTCCAAGGATGGGAACAGTAACCCAATCATAGGTTTTCACAGCTTTGTAAGGAAGGAGATGGAGACGAAGAAGATATAATTTAGGAATCTCATCTAATCCCATTGAGGAAAGATTACCTGCATATCATTGGCTGCCAGTCTTCTCCTAAATTCTACTTAGACAATGACTTACAATTAGGAAACTAAGAAAATTTGACTAATTAGAATATTTTAGACCTAAATAAAGCCACGTGTAGCAACCTAACGAGAACACCCAACTCATAAGAAGACCCATTGATGGCCCTTTAAATATAATGTTTGGCAAATTGTAAAATTACTTATATTTCTAGATATAGAACCTTCCAAGAAAAAAATATGCCCAACATAGTCCCTATTGGATGGGAGTCGGGGAAGGGTAAGCCCAAACTTTGATATTATTTGCACAAAGTGGTTGCTCTCATGTTTGAAACCACGACCTCAAGATTGTTAGGTTGAGTTTTAACCACTAAACCAGTTCCCCCCTTGTTATAGAACCTCTGAAATATACAACAAAATTAAAATAGTATTTGACTAACATGTAGAAACATAAAATTCGCTCAAATTAACCCTAACTATACACATGGCAATGTTTTTCTTTCTTTCAATGCTTTGCCACAGCTAATAGAAGCAGTATATTTGCTCATGAGAGAGATAAGTGTTGGAGAAGAAATATCATATCAAAGAACAAGGAGATGAGGGTGATTGGAACACTATAGATAACTTTAAGGTGTGTGGAGTTGGCCTCTTGAAAGGTATTGGACAGGGATGACTCGAGTTTGCAAACCATCTTTTTTTTTTTGCAGAGGGAGATGGAGATGGGATGAGCTCTTGGCGTGAAATTCAGTTCGGAGTTGCTTTTTTATGGAATGCATTCTTTTTTTTTTTTTGTCCTTTCCTTGAGATGGCAATGGATAGATTTACTTTGTTGTTCATTGCATACAAGCTAATGATTGGGAAATTGAGCTGATGTAGTTTTTTGACAGTTTGTATAGGGAGGATGTTTTAGGATGGTGAGAGGATGGGTTAAGAGAAAACCCCCAAGGTTTGTGATGTTTGATGTCAAATCTTTTCATAAGAATAAGAGGCTATTAGGACCCTTGGATGGAAAGGGACTTGGAGAGCTAAAGTTATTTCCAATTAGGCATTCTTTTGGGTGGGAGGCCACTCATGGGAAGATCCTTACAGTTAATAACTTGATTAAGCTAAGAAAATTATCACCAATTGGTATTACCTGTTATGAAATAGGCTACCAGTGGACTCGTTTTCATTCATTGTATGATGGTAGGAGAGGTATGGTCACTTTTGTTGAATATGTTTGGTGATTTGTAGGTAATACCTAAGTCTGGCTAATTTATTTCGTTATTGGAGAGGGTGCAATATTAGCAAGAGAAGGAAGATGGCATAGTTGGTAGCTCCTTCACATGTGATGTTGTGTTTATGGGGTAAGAGAAATAGGCAATCTTTGATAGAGAGCCTCCAGTATTTGTTGTGAAGAGTAGATTTTTGAATTTTTTGCATTGTTGGGGCTCAAGAAAGGTGCACCCATTGTGGACATGTTTTCATATTTTGTGGATAATATGGAGGGTTGAGAGTTGTAGGGGGGTGAGGGGATTTAGTTTTGTATTGTATTGGTATTCATGTTGCATGCATATGTGATGTCCCCTTAGGCACTGATTTATGTGTGAGGTTATCTTCTTATTCAATTTCAAGTGGCTAAGGAGCTTTGAAATTTGATCTTGGCAATGTTTGGGGTCTCATGTTGTGGCTGGTTGAAAATTCAGAAGGCGAAAATATTTGGCTAGACAGGAATACCCACTTTTTCCATAGGATGGCCAACACTTGTACGAGGCAAAATTTTATTAATATGGGGGCTTGTTAGAGGAGGAAGCTTTGGTTAGATCCATTTTGAAAGAAGAGTTTGCAAAGGCTGTGAAGACGTAAGAAATTAGTTGGAGACAAGCTAAGGAAACTGTGGCTTAAAGAGAGTGATAGGAGTACCTACTTTTTCCATAGGATTGCCAAGACCCATTGGAGACGAAATTTTGTTAATAACATTCATAGGGTGACTGTTGTTTTTTCTAACTTGACTTTGATTAAAAGCAGTTTGTCTAGCCTTCCCATCTATTTCATGTCTTTGTTCACTATTGTAGCCCTGGTGGTGAAGCTTTTGGAGGAGTTGCAATGTGATTTCCTTTAGGGAGAGATTTGAGAAGAGTTTAGATACCACCTTATAGATTGGGATGCAATGTTTTCTTCAATTAGAGAAGGGGGCTTGGCTATTCGTAGGGTTGCTCTCTTTAATCAAGCTCTGCTTGTGAAGTGGTTGTGAAGGTATGTTGTGAAAGGGAGAGGTATTGGAAGAGGGTGGGGGCTTGTAAATTTGGAGATGTGTGGGGTATTGGACCACTAAGGGGGTGTCTTTGGTTTATGGCATGGGTTTGTGGAAAGGCATCAAAAAGGGATGGGATATTTTCTTGTGCCACATCTAGTGTAGGGTTGGTATTGGCGATCAAGTGAAGTTGTGGAGCCATTGTTCGTATGGTGGGGAGAAATTGGGGTGGCCTATCGCAATGTTGCCTGGTTTGCTATTGACATGGAGTCTTCGAAGGTAAGATAAGAAATTTGAGATTATTCCTATTATCATAGATAACGAAGCATGCCATTATTCTAAAACATTGTCATTTAGGATCACCTTTAGCTTGTGCCCTTGAGCTTCCCTTTTGTTCATTAGGAAACTGAGTTTTCATCTTAGGAGTCTAGGGGTTTTCGGGTATTTTTGCAGTTGGTGGAGTGATGCTGTTCTATATCGCTTCTGTGGTTTTGAAGTTTTCTTATCTTCTATGCATTCGTATCCTTTTGGGCCTTTTACTCTCTTTCAAATAGTAGACTATTCAAACCTTGGAGTATTCGGATGCATGTGCTTTGTTCACATTCCATCCTCTTTTTTATTTTTTATTTTTTATTACCCTTGATGATTTTACTTGTTCCTTGTCCTTACCTAAGAAACAAATATCATTCTTTAATAAAATAGGGACTAAGCATGAGCATTTTAAATACCATTGCACGGAAAAAATTTGTTGATCTTGAGTTGAATATCCATGGGCATGAGTCATGACTAGGCTTAATACAAGTTCATATTCGACCTCTTAATCTTCTGAACCAGTCTATTATATTGGTGCTGTATGTGCAAATCTGTCTCTCATTGCTTGTTCATTGTAAGGTTGCTAGGGATTTGTGGGGGTTGGTTATGGTGTTGTTTGGGGTTAGTTGGGTTTTTCAGGAGGAGGTGACAAGTGTCATGTTTGGGTGGTGGGGTGAGGAAGTGTAGAAGAAAAGGCTGGATCCTTGCGCCACTTTGCTTGATGTGGCTTATTTGGAGGGTGCATAACAAGAGGGCCTTCAAAAGTGGGGAGGAACCGGGGCACAAAGTTGAAGGGTGCATTTTTGGTTATTTTGTATAGTTGGTTTTTTGGGAGAGGCTTGTCTACTTTGGACAACCTCATTGATTTTGTAGATTCTTTAGTCTTGTGAAGAATCTTTACACTTATGCTTGTCCTGTGTTTTGGCTTTGTTTGTTGGTTTCTGGATGTTATTAAGGCTTAACCTCTTCTCCTTTTTGTATAGGGGTTTTTCCTTCTCTCTTCTTTAATGGAATTTTATTACTCATCAGGGAAAAAAGTCCATTTCCTTCTGTAGTATTTCTTTTCTCCAATTTTTTGGTATACTACTCCAGTCCCTTTTTTCAACATGTATGGCTTAGTGATTACTCTCTCCTCTCTTCAATTGTTGGCAGCACAGATAAATAACGAACTTTGTGATAAGTTCTCTGTGGGTCATTATCCTATGCTATTATGGGCACCTCCTAATAAATTTGTTGCTGGTGGTTGGAAACCTAATCAAGACAAAAGTGAGATATGTGCCATTGATGATGGACGGACAGCTGATCGCTTGCTTAACTGGATTAACAAGCAAATGGGCAGGCATGTAACTTCTTTACCTTTTCTTTCGAACATATATTGTTACTGCATGATGTCCAAGATTTAATCATTTTGATCTTCGAGTAAAATTGCTTTTTGTTTTTTTCCTTCTCCCTTTCTTAGGCGTTCTTATTCTCGATGAAATTGCTCTTTAATACTTAAAAATTTCTGTAACACTGCCTTTCTTTAACTTTAAGGAGCACATATATTTTTTCGAAAGACAAGTTTGAAAGGAACATGTAATTATCGTGAGTACAAAGATTATAACTTTGGAGAACCATGCAGTTGTGCATTAAATGTTTTCGGGGTAATGGGAATAAAATAATTATGCCATGATGTGTTTTGATAAAACAGATCCTTTATTCTTGTTTATTATTTTCTGGAAGGTGATTTAATTTTTATTGCAACGTGACAACTTGTGCACTGTGGTCAAAAGGTATGCACTGCCAAAAAGAGGAAAGAGATAACCTAAAAGACTGTAGCTTCATTGTGGAGGTGCAAGGGATAACCTAAAATACTAGAGTGTGGTGATATGCTTACTAGTGCTACCAAAATTGTGACTTTTCAGCTGTGGTTTAAGTTTGGAAGACTCTCACACCTATTGCACAGCATACATACAGTCACCCATACATATAATATGTTGATTTTCAAATATAAAATTTTGAAGATGTGGGGTTATATTGTAAACTTTGTATTAGTATTACAATAACTCTACTTTAACTAAAAGTGGGCGAATGTTAGAAATTTTAATAAACTAAAATATTATTTTATTTGCTTAGCTCAATTACAAAATTAAAGATCTTTATTATTACAAAATTTATGTTGATCTATTAAATATTGTTTTAATTTGTTTATTATTATTAATTAAGATTTAATTAAAATTAATTCTATATATCTTATATAAACCTATGTCTTCTTAAAGTTTAGAGACAAGAAAATCATGCACATGAGAATCATACATATAATTGAGATTTTACAAAAGAGTGTTCTGTTGTTTTGTATTATCTGCTATAGGTGTACTCTCTTCTTTCAAACTAATAAAACTGTGGGCATTTAATATATGTTATACTACTTATATTGTAATAAATTATATTGATGAATTCCTGAGACATAACTAGATAACAGACTCTTTATTTGATGAGGTTAGTGGCATATTTTCTGTAACCCTCCAAGTTGGACAACAAAATTATGAGTTTTAACCTCTGATTCTATGAATCCTGAATCCCTGTCTTATGTATTTGGTGATTTTCCCCTTTCTAAGCTATCCCACCCAAAACCAGAAAAGAAAATAAAAAAGAACCCATTTTATTTGGGACTTTACCCAGCAGATTTTCGAAATGGGGGAGCACTAAATACTGCTTGAGGTATCCATTAGTGCCTAGTGGTGCCAAATTTCTATTCAGTGTGTCACTTCTTGGATGGAGGGATTGATCGTATCTAAAAGTGCACTGATTGGAAGGGCTTAAGCTAACTTTTTGAAAGTGGTTTGATTGGAAAGAGGAAATCTCAAAGGAAAAAAGAAATGCTGTGTTAACTGGTTTGAATTTGAACCAATCCAGTTTGGCTTCAGCATGTTTTATCACCAACATGTCATCGGATAGGGGGTGTTTGGTGTGGTTTATTTTGGCCAACTTATAGATTCTAGGCTTGGACAAGCTATTTTGGATTGTTTGGTTAAACTTATTTCAATCTTCCTCTGATTCTAGAAACTTATTTTAACTCAAAAAAACTGATTCTGAGAAGTTGCTCAACCCTTACTTCTGATTATCAGCTTCTGCTGTGACATGTTAATTTAATATTTTACTCTTAAATTTTTTTATTTTTTATTTTTTAAAAAATAGAAAAAGACCCAAATGGACTGCGGATTATTATTATTATTTTTTATGAGAAATGTAGACAAGTAGTGAATAATAAAAAATAAAAGTTAATTCGAAAAGCTATTTAACAGCTTATTTAACAAACACTATTTAGCAACTTAAATCTATAATCCAATAGTTACACCAAACAGATTAACAGCTTCTGATTAAAGTCATAATCTATAATCTGTAATCTGTTAAGTTGTAATCTATAATCTGTTTTAATAGTTACACCAAACGGGGCCATAATGGGGGAAGGGGACAAGGGGCTTAGTATTAATCAACTAGTCCACCTATTCCCCTGTTCCTTTCTGCCTATTACATTAGAAGCTGTGGGTACTTGTATCAAGCCTAATACATGGCAAGCCCTATAGGTGCTACATCACCAAAACCCCACCCATGTGGTAGACCAACAAGGCACCACGCGGGCATGTTGTATGTTTGATACACGGTGAGCCCTACGGGCGCCATCTGCCTAGGCATTACGTAAAACCAAGACTATATGCTTAGCTTAAGCGGGAGCATACATATAAACCAAAATATATCTAAATACGAAGAGCCCTGCAACAGGCAACACCATGGCCCCGCAAGGCCCATGGTCCTTCATACCTCGCTCTAAGACCAAAACAACAACACAATCAGCCCTCGGTTCACTTAGACTTGGATTGATAAACACTGGCTCTCCTAAATATTGAGATAGGTCTACGACCCATTCTCCTATTTGGTCGCTTGGAGGTGAGCCCTGGCTCTCCTAAACATTAACGTGGGCCGTAGCCCATTCATCTACTTGGATGCCTGGGTTGGGAGTAGGACCCAGGCACTACTACTCGGGATCACCAGAAGATACTGGACTGGCGGCTGAGGTCATGGGATCATCAAGATGGTTGTCTTCTTGCTAAGACAACTCCATCTCGACCAAGCTTGGAGAAGAGGTAACAATGACCTTACGTTCGTTTCATCTGATACATATACGAAACGTTACTTTCCGCTTGCCATGAAATGTTGCTCTCTGCCTGCCGTCAAGCCACAGACGGTAGAAGGGCTTATATCACTTCTGACAGAGTTGAGGAGAACGAGCCACCTGTCCAACAGTTTGCTTGGGCTCCAATACTCCTGTGGCCTATATAATGTATCGTATATGCAGCGAGACACAACAACAATACAACCAAGTCTCATGTTTAGACACCCTCTCTCACACTCTACATTAGTGTTCAAGGTCTATCACTGCCAACCTCTCCTGCTCCATGCTTGTCTTGGCCTCCTCCTCTCCACCTCCGGTGATCTCAGGCCATTGAAGTGCCCGCTATCTTCTTGGACTACCTCTAACCGCACCTCTCACCCACAGAAGCATTTCATCAGAATGTTCAAATCGAGAACTTACACTTAGCTTCACCGTGCTCTCACAAACAGGCAATATTGCACGTGTTGATAAGGGCATGGTGAATCTAAGTGCATGAAGGGGGGAAAAAACGAAGAAATGCTGAGCAATTGGGGAAGCAGGTACTTGTATAGTAACAGTAAAAGTTAATAAATGGTTCAACCATGTCGCCTTTCTCTTTATCCCTCTTCTCCATTCCACTTTCTTATACTTTGAATCAAATTTAACTCCTTTCCTTTGTTCTCAAATCCTCTTTTTTGAATAACAAAAAAAATAAATAAATAAAGGAAAACAAAAATAAATCTTTGTTAACACATAATCATCTATGGCTTATATTTGCAGATCCACTTAGAAAATGAGTTGATTTCAAATCAGGGAGACTTGAACTATCATTGATTGGTATCTTAACCAACCAACTTGTTTAAAAATTTCAATTTTATGTTACAGTTCTACTATGTTACAACACTAAATCTAGGTGTATATATTTTCAGTTGTATCAAATTGCCTTGAAATATTTATTTATTTTTGGGTTTGTGTGGAGGGAGGGAGAAGGAGGCGGTTTAGGAATAAATTGATTAGTGATAAAGCTGTTATAGGCTTATGTCAAATGTGGCAAATTGCCATCATCCATTATGTGCTTTTTAGGTGGTCAGTGTCATTGCTACCATGGGATTTACGCAATCGATTAGTTTATATAGATATCCCTTCAACAAACATAGATAATGTTTCAATCACCGAGACTGCCAATGAGCTAGTTTCTTTGTTATCCATTCTTGACGGGGATATCATTGAATCAAGGAATCATTGACAAGAGAGAGTGGACTAATCATCTATTATGGTAAATTTCTTGCAATTTCTTTTTTGATGAGATTATTGAATATCCAACTGTCCCATTTTTTTCCTCACAAGTTGATTTGGGATGCATGTGTGCCTCTTAAACTTAAAATTTTTGCATAGCCTTTGGCTTGGAGAAAACTCTATGCCAATGACAAGTTTTAAAAAAGAGGCCTAGTTGCAATTTTTTCATGTGGTGTATAATGTGTAGGGATGAGGAGAGTATTGATCATCTAGTTGTATGTGGTCATTGTTGGAGAGCTGGATATGCACTATGGGGTCCCTTTCCTAATAGTTAAGCTTTTCAGACTAGTGGTGATGTAATATGGTAGTAGAGCTTAGATAAGGAGAGGTCTTGGGATCAAGTATTTTCGTTTGGAAACTTTGCATTTGTTCCTTCATTTGCATTATGTTTCTCTTTATGTTTGGATGATTGCATCTCTACATGTAAGACGGGGTTGCACGTGAGAGGGGGTGTTAGAGAGCTTAATATATATAGTTGTTGGAGAGCTTAATATATATAGTTGTTGGGCCATTTTCCCATCTGCTTAAGCTTATGGGACTATTGGTTATCTAACAGTCCTATGGCTATGATGTTATGGTATTGATTATTTCAGTTAGCGGAAATTGATTGGGTAGTCCTAGTTTCATGTGTCCAGTTGCTCTTAATTGATTTTAAAGGTTTGCTGTGTTGTTCTTTGGGCTATTTACTTGGAGACAAATTCGAGAATATTTGAAAATTAATCGAAAGATTTAGGAGATTTATGTAATAAGATTCATTATTTGTTTTCTTTTTGGGCTTCAGTGTAGTCTCCCTTTAAGAGGGTTCCTTAGTTTTTGATAGCTAGAGATTGGAAGGCTGTTTCAATTGTAATTTTTCTTTATTTTCTCTCTTGTTGTCCTCTTTTATTTCCTGTGTACTTCTATTCCGTGTGTACTTCTAATCCGTTTATTATTAATGAAATTTTGTTGTTGATTGAAAATAAACAAAGAAACATAGGTCATTGAAAGGATTTCGGAGACTGAAAAAAAAACTTTCTTCATGTTAAGTCTTTGTTATTAACTTTGTATGACTATAGGTATGCCTTCTTCTACTTCATTTGATAATCTTATGCTTTACAGCTCGTTTGGCTTGGATGATGAGAAATATGAGAATGAGCTTCTCCAATCAAATGTGTCAGACCCTGGACAGGTCCTTCAAAAGATTTACTCTGAATGTTTGCTTTCTGTGTTTTTACAAATTATAGTGCTCTGTAAAATTTGAAATTTAACTTTATAACACTGGCTTGTGATAGATTGCACGTGCTGTGTATGATGTTGAGGAGGCAACATCTTCTGCCTTTGATATAATCTTAGATCACAAGGTAGATCTTTGTTTCCTTTACGCAGAATTTGTTTCTTTTCATATGTTACATATGTTAACATTTGAGGCTTTGATGTACTCGAACTTTGCATTTATGCAGATGATCAAATCAGAGACTCGGGCATCACTTATAAAATTTCTTCAACTTCTTGTGGCTCATCATCCATCGAGGAGGTTAGTACCAAGACTTTGTGTGTCCATAATTGATTTGCACAAGCATAATGTGCTGATTCTTTCGTTTATCAACTCATGACTTATATTAGGTGCCGAAAGGGAAGTGCAGAATTCCTTGTCAACTTTGATGAGTTGTACCCACTAGATATTTTGTCAGCCAACAAACAGGAATCCATCAATGTTACCGGAAAGGGTGCACTTGAGAATTTCCAGATTTGTGGAAAAGAAGTTCCTCGTGGATATTGGGTGGGTACACGATAAATTGCTGTTCTAAATAATTATGATCTCATCCTTTGCTTTGTTTATACCGCACGTGAACGCAAGAAGTTATGTTTGATACTTTTGTGTCATAAAAGCTCTTGATCTGCTCATACTCCTTAGTGTTAATATTTTATGTTGTTTATCATTAGATGTTCTTCTGTTGCAGAATTAGTAGATGTTCTTGTGAAATTTTTATTTCCTTTCATTTCTGTATTTTTATTTCTTGAACCGCGATGGTCAATGCATATTATAATCCCTATTTGCACAGTAAAGGGGAATTGCCCCCAATTCATTAAAAAAGTTTGTTTGCATATGTTTTCATCTCATTGTCCATCTATTGATTGATTTAATTATTTGAAATTAGTTCTTTAGAAACTAATTTGCAATTTTTTTGTAGTATCACCATCTTCATATCATCATTGTGTCTTTGCACTTGGTTAGTATGTGACAATGTGTGGTAGAGACAGAGAGACACAGAGAGAGAGAGAGAGGAGCACATTACGATTGGTGGGAGAGTTGCTATTCTTACACCTCTATTACATAACCACAGTAACTCAGCACAAGTTTGTTTATTTGTAGAGTTTCATTTCATAAATAGATTATTTGTGTGGTTCAAAATCTCAGCCGTTCATTGTGTACCATCTATTCGAAGCGGAAAATGAAGGATACAGGCCGGTATACTAGTGTGAGTAGAACATCGCATGCAAACCTGTCAATTTGAAGTTTGAACAAGTAGGAACCAGATAATTAATCAAGTTGACTGTGAACTGGTCTGGTTCATACAAAATTTCCTGATTCATACTGTGTATAACTCTAAAATCAACAGGTCAGGTCCGAAATTTGCTGCTTCAATTTCTTTGATTTTCTTTGCGATTTCTTCAGCTAGGTTTGTACGATGAAAATAAAGTTCACAAATCTGAATAAGCCCCATCTCCCTGTTTTTAATTTTGATCTTGAGAATCTGATGGGCAAGAAATTAGAGAGAGAGAGAGAGAGAGAGAGAGAGAGAGAGAGAGAGACTTGCAGCATCCTGTTAAGCCCCATGCTCTGCTCTAGGTTTTAATCTTTGGGCAATATGTTGGCTTTGTATTGTTAAAAGATAAAAAATAAGATGATGAGATAACAATGCCAGAATGTTGTGTTGGTCTTCGTGCGTGAAAAACATCACAAAGAAGTAGGCAAAGTACTTCAAGGGGGCATACGCCCCATTACAAAGAGTAGAGCTCTAACAAAATAACGCTTCGTTTGTGTTATCCGGATTTTCCATAGAAAATGTTTGGTTGTGTTCTTGAATTAATGTACTAATGGTTGCATTAGTGGTGGTGGTAGTAGTGGCGTCGGTAGGGTGGAGGTGGAAGTGGAGGTGTTGGGAGGCGGGGGCGGGGGCGGCGGCGGGGGCGGCGGTGGCAGTAGTAATGAGAGATTGTAGTGGTGGTGGCTGTGAGGCGGTGGAGGTGGTGGCGGCGATGATGGCAATGGTGGTTGTGGCTGTGGGGGTGGTGGAGGTGATGGTAGTAGCGGTAATGTGGTGGCACTGATAAAACTTTGGTTTGGAAAATTTTTTTCGCCCAAATAGGCTTGTTTTCCATTGACCACAGAAAATGTTTTCCGTTGACTTTGTGTTTTCTGTTATACCAAACGACAGAAAATGCTTAAAACATTTTATGAAAAATCCAAACAAACGGAGTGTAAAGTTCATCTGCTTTTCTATTACTTGCTTAAAGAATCCCATTTTTCCCCTTTTGTGGTACTGATAAGTATCTGTGGGCTTGTCCTTACTTGGTTAACAAAAAAATGTATGTGGGCTTGTAATTTAATAAATTTATATTAGAATAACACAAGCAAAATGTATTCCACGTCACAAAAGTAAGTCAAATGTGACAATTGAGTTAAAGAGATTTAGAGAATATCTAGCATTGAGTTTTAGATTCAGAACCACGTCACCTGATTCTCGATGTATGTCGCTCGATACTCCCGATACTGTGACACTGATTGATACCGTTACATCTCCTGATTCAACTCTTTTTCTTGATTTTTTCTTTCCAATTATGTGTCATTCTGTCCCTCTATGATTTATTTAATGCACAATCACCTTTATTTATCAATTTAAAGTCCTTGTTTTATACCCCTACTTCTACATCTAGGCCATTCGTAAATTACCCTAAACATGAAAATATATGCTGCTCAAGTGCAATGAGCTTATTTTAAGTGAGGCACTATAAGAGATGGATTGCTTACACACCTAACCTTCACCTTAACTTGCGCCTCTGGAACAAGATATAGAATGGCTATCCAGACATGATCCGGAACCCAGTAAGGCAGCAAATAGGCTGGCCTTAGACCTAAACCCATTTACTCCAGCTTTATCCTATAAGCCATAATACTCACTCCGTCCCATTCATTTTGTCCATTATGAAAATCCAACTTCATAAGGGGGCATGCGTTAAATCCTTATGCATCCAACTAATATAGTTTTAAATTTTATAACTATCCCTCTTAGCTACTTTATTAATGCATTCACACTGATATAAGAAAGGATAATGTTGTAAAATCATTATTTAAATTAAATGCCCTGACTTTCAAAATGGACAACCATTTTGTGACATCCCAAAATGGAATAGTGGACAAAAATAATGGGACATAGGGAGGTCTTAAATACCACCTTCTCGAATATGACTACCGTAAACATCTCTAAACCATAGCCTGCAGATTGATTGATTGTAAACAGCGTTTCTTGCAATAAATTTCAATGGGAACTTGAGCTTAGCTCAAGTGGTTGTTCCCCTTGGTTTCCCAAGGTGGAGTTTGGGGTTCAAGCTTATGGACAAGCATCGAATGCCCTATTAGAGCAATCTAACTTCCTAACCAGCTAACATCCTGCCTTTGACAAAAGAATAAAAATAAATTTCAATTATATGAATCTTAAGTAGCATTGGTAGTGATACACACGACAACGACTACAAGAGGAGATGGAGAACATGAAATAAGATTCATTACTATATTAGGCGGAAAGTATTTCATGGGATAACCAATTACTGTATTAAGCAGAAAGTATTTTCCTTTTAGTTGAGAATAGTTAAAATTGAGTCAGTTATGTTTGGATCTGGTAGTAAATTTATTGACCTATATTTTTTTCCCTGTATTTTGATGGATAGAAATTTCATGGTTGGGCTTAGATTGCATAATGGGCACAAAACTGGGGGTACTTTTTTACTTTGCATAATGGTGTGTGCTTTTACTTCAAACTGTTACTAGAGAGATTGAATTAAATTGGTGGGATGCTCCAAGACCTTAAATCCTATCTTCTTAATAGTTGATTTCTGATATTCTCATGATAATGTTTCTTCAAAGGAAGAAATTTACTGCAGTATAAAACTAACGCTGCATTAGTCGTTAGTCTAACTTGTCTAGTTTCTTGTGGTTTTCTATTTTAATCGTCCCTATATGTTAAATAAGTCGTTAGAAGGCAATGCACTACTACTAGTCAAAAACTAAGGTAGTGTTTGGTTCATTGGAATGGAAGCTGAAAATGGAATGATCATTCCGGTGGAATACACATTCACATGTGCGATTCGGTAGAAAGGAAGTGGATGTACATTTCAAATGGAATCACCATTCACCATTTTAGGAGAATAGTCATTCCATTGGGAGGCCAAGGAATAGCCAATCCATTCTTGCTCAAAATCGTTCTAGCAAAACCAAACACTACCTAAATGACTCTTTTGGTAAGGGATGGACCAGTGTTAGCTCTTGGAGTGGATTAGCCTTAAGAATTGGACTGATGTAGTATATATTAGGAAATTAGAGCCTAAGGTTGCCTACAATGTAGCTGTGCTAGGTTTTGGTTATGGAAAGCTTGTAAGGATAATGTTCTAATTAGTAAAGTAAATTTTCTAGGGTTTGGTGACAGAATAGGTGTGAGATTTGGCTTCATTCTCAAGATGGCTGTTAAAATCCACCTACTCTCCACCTACTTCACCCACTTAAACCTACTCCACTAAACCTAACCCACTACACCACTACCACCTCACCTACTCCACTAAACCTAACCCACTACACCACTACCACCTCCACTTCACCTACTCCTTACCTACTACACACTCACCCTCTTCTATATATAGGAATCATGAATCATTGTAATTGATATCAACATATCAGTCATCAATATACAACAATTAATAATACAATTCTCTTTATACATTAAATTTCAACATGGTATCAGAGCAGGTTTAGAACCTAGTATTTTTTGCTTCCCCGGCGGGCGGCAACCTTACCTTAGCCGTCCGCCGGACCTCAACCTAGTTCGCTCGAATTTTCACACATACCTTGAAATTTCCTTTCTTCAACCTGCTTATGCTCGTCTTCTTGAGGGTGATCCGTTAAAGGTTGATCAGTCTGCCCTTACCGGAGAGTCACTTCCAGTGACCAAAAATCCTTATGATGAAGTTTTCTCTGCTTCAACCTGCAAACAAGGCGAGATTGAAGCTGTGGTTATTGCTACTGGCGTTCATACCTTCTTTGGAAAGGCTGCACATCTTGTGGATAGCACAAACCAAGTTGGGCACTTCCAACAAGTGCTTACTGCAATCGGGAACTGCTGCTGCTGCCGCCCTTATGGCTGGTCTTGCGCCCAAAACTAAGGTTCTTAGGGATGGTCGATGGAGTGAGCAGGATGCTTCAATTTTAATTCCGGACCAGTCTACGAAGTCAAGTAGATCCACTTGGCTTCTCGGAATTCCAGAGGCGGATTCAGCAGACATGGCGTGCGAGTCTTTCAGGCTGAGAAAAAAGTCATCCCAGCCCTGCAAAATCCATGATGCACCCATACAAATACAAACACTCCTCTCTCTCCTCTTTCCACTTTTCAACCCACACATCTTTTTTTTTAATCCACCGCCCAAACCCTCTTTTTTTTTTTTTTTTGACATAGGGAGGTCTTAAATACCACCTTCTCGAATATGACTACCGTAAACATCTCTAAACCATAGCCTGCAGATTGATTGATTGTAAACAGCGTTTCTTGCAATAAATTTCAATGGGAACTTGAGCTTAGCTCAAGTGGTTGTTCCCCTTGGTTTCCCAAGGTGGAGTTTGGGGTTCAAGCTTATGGACAAGCATCGAATGCCCTATTAGAGCAATCTAACTTCCTAACCAGCTAACATCCTGCCTTTGACAAAAGAATAAAAATAAATTTCAATTATATGAATCTTAAGTAGCATTGGTAGTGATACACACGACAACGACTACAAGAGGAGATGGAGAACATGAAATAAGATTCATTACTATATTAGGCGGAAAGTATTTCATGGGATAACCAATTACTGTATTAAGCAGAAAGTATTTTCCTTTTAGTTGAGAATAGTTAAAATTGAGTCAGTTATGTTTGGATCTGGTAGTAAATTTATTGACCTATATTTTTTTCCCTGTATTTTGATGGATAGAAATTTCATGGTTGGGCTTAGATTGCATAATGGGCACAAAACTGGGGGTACTTTTTTACTTTGCATAATGGTGTGTGCTTTTACTTCAAACTGTTACTAGAGAGATTGAATTAAATTGGTGGGATGCTCCAAGACCTTAAATCCTATCTTCTTAATAGTTGATTTCTGATATTCTCATGATAATGTTTCTTCAAAGGAAGAAATTTACTGCAGTATAAAACTAACGCTGCATTAGTCGTTAGTCTAACTTGTCTAGTTTCTTGTGGTTTTCTATTTTAATCGTCCCTATATGTTAAATAAGTCGTTAGAAGGCAATGCACTACTACTAGTCAAAAACTAAGGTAGTGTTTGGTTCATTGGAATGGAAGCTGAAAATGGAATGATCATTCCGGTGGAATACACATTCACATGTGCGATTCGGTAGAAAGGAAGTGGATGTACATTTCAAATGGAATCACCATTCACCATTTTAGGAGAATAGTCATTCCATTGGGAGGCCAAGGAATAGCCAATCCATTCTTGCTCAAAATCGTTCTAGCAAAACCAAACACTACCTAAATGACTCTTTTGGTAAGGGATGGACCAGTGTTAGCTCTTGGAGTGGATTAGCCTTAAGAATTGGACTGATGTAGTATATATTAGGAAATTAGAGCCTAAGGTTGCCTACAATGTAGCTGTGCTAGGTTTTGGTTATGGAAAGCTTGTAAGGATAATGTTCTAATTAGTAAAGTAAATTTTCTAGGGTTTGGTGACAGAATAGGTGTGAGATTTGGCTTCATTCTCAAGATGGCAGTTTGCAGGATTTTCAGAAAAGTGGCTGCTGGAAGGTGTGGATAACAAGTATTGTGCTGTAATTTATTGTGGAGTTGAAGGCCAAAATGTTGGGGAAAGGGTCAGGTATGCCTGACCTAGCAGTGTTTTGGGGCTGAATTAGGGATCGTACTATGGTAGTGAAAACAGTATCCCAATAGTAGTTGGTTTTTTTGTGCAGAGAAGGGGAAGAAGCATGAAAGAAAGAGAAGGAAAGGGGGCAAGATCACACAAACACAATCACAAGTTCTCTTAACTCAACTCATGCATGTATTTGTAGGCTGCTACTAGTAATTCTAATAGGATTTCAACTTGATATTAGGAAACAAATAGATCTGGACTACCTATAAGACCTAAATAACATTAATTGACCCATTACGCAACCCATGGGTAACCTTAGTAAATTACAAAATAATCGAAATACTGTCACTCTCAAAACATAAGAAAATATAGATAAAATCACCTAGCACCAAAGTTTTGAAGCCAAATGCATAACGCTGTGCATTTCCCCCTTGCACAACAAGGCGTGAGCCTCAAAGTGAAGCATATGCATTTTGAATTTCAAATTTCAAATTTTTATATTTAGTAAATAAATAAAAATAAAGGTAACTATTTTTGTCCCCAAGGAGTCGAACATTTCACTGCTGAGAAGAAAGCTTGCCCTCATCAATGGTGACACAACATTCTTAACTTCAGTTATTGAGCTTCTCATTTGAGCTTTAGCTTTGTGTTTTTTCTTGGTTGGTCATTTCCTTGAGTTTTTCCCCATGAAATATAGTACAAAAGAGGATCTTCTTTTTCATGTTTAAACCATGTATTAGACTAAGTTTAACAACAGCCCAAGCCAAGCTTGCCATATGCATGCTCCCCATATGTTTATGTGAAAAAGGTGTACAAGTTGTACTTGAGGTGTGCGCCTTAGATTGTGATGCACAAGGCTTTTGGGAGTGTTGTCTAAAATTCAAATCGTCTATGCCCAAGGTTTTAAAAAGCGGTTGCGTTTGCCGTAACGGTGGCGGTGGCGCGGTTGCGGTTGCGGGGTGTAAAGGCCGTAGTGTAACGGTTGCGGTAACCGGAACCGTGAATTTTTTTATTTTTCGCACAATTTGAAACAAACTTACGGATACGCATATTTTTTTTCCATGATTATATTTATTGGGTTAAAAATAAATATTGATCAATTTTTATAAATTTTTAAGTATGATTTAATATATTTCATATTTTTAAATTACTATAAACTGAGTTTTTTTCATTTTATTTTAATAATTAATGACTTTATATTATACAAAAAATCAATCACTAACTATTATATATAAGATAAACAATGACAAAAGTAAAAGAATAAATAAAAACCTAAATATATATATACATATTTTAACCAACCCAAATAGGTAATGACCACACTCATTATTATTATTATTTTCAAACAATATATAGATAGACACACACAAACAAAATGGTTGAGTGATAGCAGCTGAATAGAATAACATAGGTTTTACAACTTCAACGAATCAATAACATGTTCTTCATCTTCCCTCTTCTCTCTTTCTATCTCTTGCTTCTCCATTTTCTCTCTTTATCTTCTCTTTTCTCTCTATCCCTCTTCCCCCATTTTCAGCTTTTTTTGTGTGTTTTTTGGAAAGAAACAGTTTGGAACCGTTACGTAACAGTGCGTAACAGGCCGTTACGGCTGTTACTGCACCGTTAAGACCGCTACGGTAGCCGCTACGGCCGACACACCTGTGAGTCTCAATCACACTGCAAAAGCGGCCGTAACGGATGGCGGTAACCGCCAAAACCGTTACGTAACAGCGTTACGTAACGGTTGCGGCTACTTTTTAAAACATTGTCTATGCCTTTTGCAATAGCCTCGCCTCGAGGCCAGTCTTGATGCGGGCTTCAATAAAGACTTTTAAAACTTCGCCTAGCACTAAACCAAACTCTAAAATAAACCTAAAGTTAGCATTCTACATTACCTAAGACACTTCCTTTTAGATCAAAATGTATTCTTGTGGGGTGTAGAAGCCATTTGTTGTTGTTTTTAGGCTTCCAAACTGGATATGCCTCATCCAACCAAGCTATAGCTGCTGCATTGCAGAGTTTTGTTCCAAAACTCATTACCAAGTCAGATGCTACTGTTGGGCTCTCATGGCTTGTTTTTCTCTCATTTTTTTTCTTAATTCAAGCGGTTAACATGAAACTGCTCTGTGTTTTACCTGTGTTTCATCCTTACTGTGCCTCTTTCTTAGTAATGTTAAATGGAATATAGATTCAATTTCATCCATGCTACTATTTTTTATTGACGATGGTATTATAAATGAAACTGTCTCTGATTGTTTTTATCTGTTATGGGTATTATTTTCAGATGTTTTGCCGTGGATTTGCCGTGGAAGCAGTAATGATACTAGGGGCTTGAGGTAATGGTGTATCCTTATTTTTGATGCACTATATAATTTCCTTTTGATAATTTATTCTTCATTATGTTCAGTATTGAATTCAACAGCTATCTGTGTTATTGGTCATTACATGGTATGTTTCAAAATAAAAGTTCACGAAAATAAGAAATCTTTGGGTAGTGTAATTCGTAAGATCATTGTTGTCGTCATCATATTATTGTTCCAAACCCTTTTGGGCATTATTCACATAGGGAGGAGACACGCTTAATATCAACTGATGACCAGCAAAGCGAGTTCATCCATTGTATATCTGCTTGAAATTTCAGGTCAAGATTAGGAAAATGATAAATGTATTTAATTACTTAACACCGTTCTTCCCCCTTTCCATGTCTACCGTTGATTTGCCACTGATACAGTAATGGAAGGCATTGGTTATTCAATTAATATATTTTGTTTGCAGGAAAGAAGTTAAGAAAATTGGAAAGAAGAAATAAGAATGATAAGCTTTGCATGAAGATAGTTCTACTTCTGCCAACCTTTCCTCCTCTTTTTTTTTTTTTGATAAATAAAATTTATTGGGAAAGGCATCAAGACGTAACACCCAAGTCCAAAACAGCCTATACAGTTATACTACTACTGACATCCAAAAAGACTACAAAATCCAAAAACTGTTCCGTTTGTAAATGCCCAAAGTTAAAGAACAAAAACATCAACCAATTAATGTAAGATATTTAAATATATACTTATTAATTTATATGCATGAATTGACTTCTTTTGTGTCTAAATTAGAAATGTTTGGCATTTATTCTTATTCCGTTGGCTGACAAAGTGTAGATTTTTATTTATTTATTTATTTCACTAGACCATTTAACTTTTCCAATGTTTCACTAATAAAGAAGTGGAGAAAAAAGGAAGATGGAATTATTAGTTGTTGTCTTGTATCCAACATCTGTTTTTAATTTTCCTGATTTACCAGTATAATATTCTGTACATGCATATTTTCCCTAGCTTTAAACATTTAATGAAACATGTACAATAATTTGGGTTGTTGGGCACCATATTGGTTGTCAATAATAATACACCTCAGTTTCTCCAATACCATCCCTAGACCACAGGCCCATGAAATGAGAGGTCATTGCTGGCAGGGTCAATTGGAAATCCTTTGTTCTGGAGGTGGGGGGTTGTGACCAAGAGACATTGTTCATTATTCTCTTAGAGCAAGGGTCATGCCTTCAAAATGCTATTGAGTTTGTATGGAGGTGAGCTAAGGTGGGGGTGTGTGACCTGCTTGATAATGTTGCTCAAATGAAGGGTACTTGGAGCTGGAAAAGGGGAAGGTACTTGTTTATGTAGCCTAAAAAATAAGGGTAGATATTTTCAGTTGGAGTTGATAAGGCTTCAAGGAAGGAGGTGATGCATTTCAGAGGGAGAAGATACAATTAGATGGAATGAATTTGCTACGGTTTTCAAGGAGATTATTTTGGTGGAGGAGCAGGCCTGGAAGAACAGATCGAAGACATTTTTTGGAAGTCGTCTATGTGCAGAGGTTGTCAGAAAACACAGTTTGTGTTCATCAGATGGGCTCTAGATTTTCAAGAGGAAGTCATTCCTACTACAGTTTCTGAGATGGTGAACTTCCTCCAAAGATGCTTAGTGGTTGCTTTGGTCCATGGGATTCACCATTGTTGGAGAAGAACAGTGGTTAGGAGTAACTGGAACAACACTACTCTACTAGGTCGCAACAGGGGTTGAAATCAGAGACCAGGGCATTCTTTTTTTTTTTTTCTTTTCCCCCTCCCTTCTAAGGAAGAAACTTCCATAATTCTTATCGGGAGGAACTAGAAGTGCAACGACCAACCATTCTTCCTTGATTGGTGGCAGTCGGCATCTTTTTGTTGTTACAAGCCCGAAGCTGGGCCAAAGGGAAGTGTGGCTGCGGTTGTTGGGACTTCCTCTCCATCTTGGAGACTACACAAGTTTCGAAGGAGTTGAAAGAGTTGAGGAGTTAGATTGAAGGTGTAATGATGTAAGCAATACTTTCTGGGTATTTTTTTTTGGGTTGAAAGATGTGAGTGGGTGTGGATGTGGATAGGTAGTATGTGGTGACCAACCAGGTGTTTTTGATTGGGATAGCAACAGGGTGAGTTTGGGGTGCCCTGCCCTGCTCCGTATTAAATTGGGGACCGGGAAAATCAGGGAGGTGGTGGGGAAGTCCTTCACTAATTCAGAGATGGAGTGCAAGGGGCTAAATATGGCTGTTGAAACCAATTTTGTGGGCAAAGACCAATGGTTCAGGAAGGGAAAGACACCTGCTACTGCTAGAGGGAGACAGAGTAGGTAGGGGCAAATATAACGGAGTGTTGCTTAGTCAGTATGCTTGCGCCTTCCAGGTTGGATGAAGGGACTAAGGCATTAATGGGTAATTTGGTAAATTTCTTGGGCTCCCTTGTGACATATTTGAGGATTGGGCCTTAAAACTGTTAGTGGAAATTGAAGCAAAAATGAGTACAGAGAATGATGGTTTGACAACAAAATGGAGCACAAGCGAAACTAAATGTGGAAGGGAGTAAAGAATTTGGTAAGCACCATAAATTATGATGGTGGATAAATTATTGTTATACGTCAAACAGACACTTGTACCCTTTTAGTAGCAGTAGTTCAGCGATGCGGACAGGGAAGCTGTCGGATGAGGAAGGAATTAAGTTAATTTGGGAACTTATGATTTTTAGGAATTTTTATGGCATTAGGTTACTATTTAGGATTTTATTAATATTTGGTTTCATATCTATCAAGCTTTATTTTCCTATTTGATTAGGTCTCTCTGTCTTATAAATATTGAGGGTTTGAGTTGTGTATTGGACAACTTCTGAATGAATAAAAAAATTGAGAGTTGTCCAATAAACTAAATTGAGAGTTGGGTTTGCATGAATAAAAATATATATATATATATATATAAATATTTTTTTTCCAGCTCTTCTACAAATATATATATATATATATATGTATCCATATATGTGTTCAATCTGGTGATGGGTTTAAACACGAACCTACCACTATCATCACACTCAGGATAATGCTGCAATTGAAGAATTGAAACCCCAATGCATAACCAAAATATAAAATTGGAAAAATTCATGCAAACCCATCACCAGATTGTACACACACACACACACACACACACACACACATACACACACACACACACACACATATATATATATATTTGTAGAAAAATCAACAAAAACAAAAAAAAAACAAAAAAAATCAATCAAACCCATCACTAGGCTATATGCATATATACATAAACACACATATATCATGTATGTATGTATTTGTAGTAAAATCAGCAACAATATTACCTAGAACAAGCTAAATTTTTTCAAACATAACCCATCCTTTAATGCAATTTTATGTTTACTAATTGGCCACACCAAATGAACTTGACAAGTCACCAAAATTGACTATTTTAACTGAATTGTTGCCTATTGAAATTCCAGTGCTATGGTGATTCAGTTGCCTTTTTTGGTAGTAGTAGTAGTAGTAATGCTATTGACACAATTGTCTTTTTACAACTACGGCTCTGCAGACTAGTTCTTTAACATGCTATGATTATTATGACTATATGCTTATTGAAACCTAGAATCATCTGGTTCATTGTAATTTATTGATATAGCTTGCCTGCTAAAATTTTCTGCTAAGCAGAAGCCTTGCGTTTACAAGCAACGATTTTTAGAGTTGGGTTGTTGGCATTTCTTTTTTAAATCAAGTAGTTTTTGTTCCTTTTACAGTTGTGGATTATGGGTTCTATTGCATTCGCTTTCCGTAAGAGTTGAAGATGGGGAGAGCCAATTGGCATTCACAACTATTTGTGAATTCATCCACGACTTCTTCATATGCGAGGAGTGCCGCCAACATTTTTATGAAATGTGTTCCAGGTAAAAACCTGTTGAAGATTCTTTTAGTTCTTGAAAAGCTCATTGGATCTGACAATGAATAATTCTGCCTCTTAGTGTCTCTACTCCTTTCAACAAAACCCGTGACTTTGTTCTCTGGCTGTGGAGTGCACATAACAAAGTCAACGAGAGATTAATGAAAGAAGAATTGTCTCTTGGAACCGGCGATCCTCAATTCCCAAAGCGCATATGGCCTTCAAAACAGCTTTGCCCTTCTTGTTATCTCTCTCGAAGCCAGGAAAACAATGGTGGTGTTCAGATTGATTGGGATCACAATGAGGTTTTCAAGTTCTTGGCTAGCTACTATGGAAACACGCTTGTGTCTCTGTACAAGAGGAAGGGGCTTCTCAGTGATGGTGGGACAGACGGGGCTCTTGTGGAGGACTTGGCAGCCTCAACAAATGCAATTGTGGTGCCTTTGGGGGCTGCATTGGCAATCGCTGTTGCCAGCTGTGCATTTGGAGCACTCGCTTGCTTCTGGCGCTCGCAGCAGAAGAATAGGAAGTATTTCCACCAACCACACTATTTAAAGAACATATAATTATCTGGAGAGTATTGAGCTGTTCAAAGGAGTGAAAGAAAAGAAAAAGAAAATAAAAAGTGAGATTTAAAAGAGAATGGAAATGAGAGAGAGTGAGAGAGGAGGGGGAGGGGTTGTGTTTGCTAGTGAAGTCGATGTTCTTATTTGTTTTTCTTTCCGCTAACGTTTTTCAGGCCAAGGAGAAGCTGGAATTGAGGTTGTTAAAAGGACAGATTTCACATGGCCGTCAATTTTAACGCACACAAACAGAGAAATTCGAGTGCTGAATAGGAACCTAAACAATCACCATTTTAACACATAGTCTGCTTGAGGTCTTCTTCTCTATCCTTTCACCTTTGCTTTTTGATTATATAATGTGGAATTGTACAGGTTTATATACTTACATTTGGATTCAAACAATCCCATAGCCCAGAGTCACTTGTTTTTGTGCCCTTTTTTTTGTTTTTTTGTTTTGGGTGAGTGTTCATTGTATGAATATGTGCAAACCATAAATATGATGATTTATAGAGCTGATTACAATTTTTTATTTTCCATTTTTACTGAGCCTAAAAGACAGATTTCTGTGTGTCTTCCAATACAACATATATGTATATAGAGGGATAGTTATGATAATCATACTTTAAGAATGTGTTTGTTTTGAGGGATTATTTTATGGGATTGGACTATTAGTCCATCCGGACTAATAGTTTATTGTTTGGTTCAATTTTTTTACTTCGGATTAATAGTCCCTTCGGACTATTAGGTGAATTATTGTATCTTAGGGGGAGAGGGGTGATTATTTCTATGGGATTGGTATCCCATGGAACTAATGTGTGAAATGCCCATTTTATCCTCATGCTATTACTTAATAAACAATTGGAAAATGGTAGAATAGTCTTTTGAACATTTATAAATTATTTTTTTAGTGTTAATTTAAAATTATATATTAAATAAAAAATATAAATTAAAAATTATGGCCTTATAATTTTTTTAGTGTTGTTAAAAAATTAAAAGGCAAATTACACTAATAGTCCCTATAGTTTGGGGTTCATATCACTTTGGTCCTTGATTTTTTAATTATGACACATTTGACTCTGAATTTTGAATCATGTTTTAAATAAGGACAGTTGAAGATATCATTGTTTAATTTCAAGGGTAAAATCTTTAATTTGATAAAATATAAACTAATTTGACAAAAATAAATGTCAAAAAAATATTTTTAAAATTTTTAAAATTATATCTACATTCCAAATGTAAAATTATGTAAAATTGATAAATTTTTTAGATATTTATTTATTTATTTATTTTACCAAGTTAATTTTTATTTTATGTTTAGATGATGATTATGTAATGGGTGCTTATTAAACTTTTGATGTGTAATTGATACATTTAATATATGAAATATTTTTAGTTTTGGATTTTTTTTGATTTAATGGATTGGTTGAATAATGATATCAAAGTTGTTGCCATATTTGACTTTTAGAAAAATAGAAACTAATTTAATGAAAACAAAAACAACCACTCATTACATGATTATCATCCAAACACATAATAAAAGTTAAATCGGTAAAATAAATAAATAAATAAATGTCTAAAAGATTTATCAATTTTACATAATTTTATTTTTAGTGGGTAGGAATAATTTTTAAAAATTTTAAAATATTTTTTTGACATTTATTTTTGTCAAATTAGTTATATTTTATGAAATTGACGGTTTTGCCCTTGAAAAATCAAATGGTATCTTCGATTGTCCTTATTTGAAACAAGATTCAAAATTCAGAGTCAAATGTGTCACAATTGAAAAGTCAGGGATTAAAATGACACAAGTTCCAAACTATAAGGACCGTTAGCGTAATTCACCTAAAATTATATTTATATATTAAATAAAATCATTTTTTTAGTGTTGTTAATTTAAAATTATATATTAAATAAAAAATATAAATTATAAATTATAAATTAAATTTAATTAAAAAAAAATAAATTAAAATTAGAAATATTTACCAATAAATCCCATCCCACAAACAATTGCACCATTTGGTCCCAACGTTGTGTTTGTTGCTCTGATTGGTTCAATCAGTGAGTGAATATAGTCCTGTTGAGCTTTTTTTTCCTTGTTTGGTAATATGTATTGGTCATTTATACATTTTTTGTTCTCGTAGGTTTTGTTTTTTTTTGTTTTTTTTTTGGGCTTTGTTGTGTATAAGGAAGTACAATATGTTCCCTTCATTGTGTTAGGGTTTTTTCTGGCTGATGCGACGGTGTGTTGTGGTCGTTGGTGTGTTTGTGGACAGACGTTGATTCGAGTTTCGCCGCCAGTAGTGCTCATGTGTTGGAGGTATTGTTTTGTTTCGGGTGTTTTCGTGTGCGTTGTGTCTATAGGTTAATTGCATGGTGTGCCATATAATGTTCATATTGTAATCGTTGTTTCCCATTCGTATGGGGCTGGGCACATTCGTATTCAATATGGAAACGGCTTTCGGTCGTATACGTCGTTCTCCAGATGACATATTGGTGTCGGGTATTGGTGTTTTGGGTGTTATAGGTTTCTCTTACTGTGTAATTTATACGATTTTTACACTCAATATGTGTTTATACACATTGTTGATTTTTTGTGTATTTGATACACTTGTCTGATGTGACGGTGTGTTGTGGTCATTGGTGTGTTTGTGGACAGACGGTGATTCGAGTTTCACCGGCAGTAGTGCTGGTGTGTTCGATGTATGGTTTTGTTTCTGGTGTTTTCGTGTGTGGTGTGTGTCTAGGTTAATTGCATGGTATGCCATATAATGTTCCTATTGTAATCGTTGTTCCCCATTCGTACGGGGTTAGGTACATTCGTCTTCAATATGTTAACGGTTTCCGGCCGTATACGTCGTTCTCCAGATGACACATTGGTGTCGGGTATTGGTGTTTTGGGTGTTATAGGTTTCTCTTACTGTGTAATTTATAAGATTTTTACACTCAATATGTGTTGATACACATTGCTGATTTTATGTGTATTTGACACACATGGCTGAGTTTTGCGTAGGGCACGGGGGGTGGGGGGGTTGTCCACACATATTCGTATGTTACAGTCTGCTGCGTTGCATTTATTGTAATATGAAACCATTTTGTTACATTGGTTGCATATTGTAGGGATGGACGCTCATGTTATGTTGGTGTGTTCTTACCGTGACACGAACGCCGCCATGAAGTTGCAATTTCCATTTCCATTTCGATTTGATGATTTGGTTAATTCTGTCCATCAAAATTTTAATGGTCTCACACATGATGATGTGTTGTTAGAATTTACCAATTTGCTCCTCCACCTACCATCTCCACTAGCACCCACTTCACCTACCACCTCCACTACACTACACCTACTACCACCTTCTCTTCTATATATAGGAGTTGTAATACATAACACAATATCAAAACAATCTTGTAGAACATCAATCAATATATATCAATTAATAATACAATCATTTCTCTTTATACATTAAATTTCTACATGTGTGTTTATTTTTCAAGATTCCGAGATACAACAGTTTCAAATTACAAAATGATATCGATATGGAAAACATGGCATCCCTTGCACGGTCTTTCCGTTTAGGACATATTGACGTCGTCGTTGAAACTCGAAGCACGCTAAGTTCAAACGGTTTTGGTGACGCAAATCGGAAACCATGTGATGTTACATTCAGTTTGCCAAGGGAAGGATATGAGTCGGACGATGACGATAAACAAGATGATTTACTCCCCAAATTTTGTCCTCATGTTGACAAAGTTTACATGTCTGCTCCATGGGCTAATGGTATCACACATGTGGGTCAAAGTTTTGAAGGCGTGGCTGCTGAATTCCGTAATGTTCTTCGTAAGTATGCAGTTGAATGTGGATTTCGGTTCAAGTATCTGAAGAATGACTCCGTTCGGATTACAGCTGTGTGCATGATGAGGGAATAAAAAGGATGTATGTGGTCTATACATGCAAGAGTTCTTCATGCTGATGAGTTCTTTTACATTCCTAAGTGGAACGCAGAGCACATTTGCGGTGTTGCCATTCGGATACCAAAAAACCCAAGGGTAGGGTCTGATTTAGTGTCTGACGTTATCTCTGAACGAGTACGTGACAAACCGCTCACACGACCCTCCGATGTTGTGTATGACTTGAAGAAAGATTATGGATTAAAGATAAGCTACCGAGTAGCATGGTTGGGAGTTGAGAAAGCAAGGGGCGACATGTTCGGTGCACATTCCATTTCGTTCGATCAGTTACGGTGGTATAGTAATGCTGTTATGGAAAACGATCTGGGCAGTTACATTAACATTGACTACGATGACCAAAACCACCGGTTTGTACGATATTTTACATCATTCAAAGCATGCATCGATGGGTTCAATCATTGTCGCCCTTTACTATTCCTCGACGGTACCTTTTTGAAGGGGAAATTCAAAGGCAACTTGCTAGCTGCAACTGCAAAGGATGTCAATCAAGGTTATGCTTATTCGTAACACACACACACTGTCATTGGCATAATTTTTAATTTTTTTAAAACGCACTTATGTTTGCGTCATACCCATTTACTCAACCCACTATTAATTTTGCACACAGGTTTATTCCCATTGGCAATTGCAATTGTCGGCTCGGAGTACACAACTAATTGGGCTTGGTTTTTGGAACACCTCGCGAACGTGGTCACAACGGACAGGACGATCACATTTATTTTAGACCAACACACAGGTCTACTTGAATCTATTCCGATCACATTTCCATCCGCCCACCACGCGTTCTACTTGCAACACTTGTAACGGAACTTGCAAGACAAGATGCGATACACCAACAAGATGCACCGTGTCGGATTGTTAAGCAAATTTCGTGAATGCGCTTATGCACTGACCGTATCAACATTCAATTCCAGCTTAGAAAGGTTTAAGACATCGGGGCGACAAGTGGCAACGGGTTTTCTGAAAGATTTACCTCCGGCGTATTGGGCAAATGCCTACTTTCGGTACACACCCGATCATGAAAATATTGCACCAAATTAATTTCCTAGATTGTTCGGCTTAATGTATTTTTTCCTTCATAATTACATGAAACTATTTTTTACATTTTCATCTTGGTGTGTGTAGGGGTGACCGGTATGGCGAGATGTGTTCCAACGCCGCTGAGTCATTTAACTCATGGATCCGTGAGGCACGACACCTCCCAATCACGAAGATGGTTGACAGTATTAGAACTAAAATTATGGACCAAATGTCAAAACGCCGACGTAAGGCAGCCGCGTGGCTTGGAGTTCTTTGCCCCAAAATCGAGTCCCGGTTGGTAAAAGCATACAACAAAGGCAGGGCGTGGCTTGTAAGCCAATCAAATGTCGATGTGTACGAGGTCCATTCATATCCATCAGTACTTGTGGATGTCGACAGACGGACGTGTTCGTGCTTTTAGTGGCAGATTAAACGAATTCCATGTGCACACGCAATGGTTGCAATCCGTAACAACGGACGAGATTTGTATGACTTGGTTGAACCATATTACCATGTGTCTAAATATCGTTCCACATACGCTTCAAGCATA